TCGTTTTAATTTCTAATATTATATGAAATAATTATTAACGGATCTGTGAACGAAAATAATCGAAATATTGTGCAAGACTAACAAAATACATCAACAGGTGAGGATGGAAAAATTATGGATTTGTAAAGGAATCAACAAGAGTTAGCGCTAATTGAAAACTTTGAAAAGATGATTGGGTTTCGAAATTCTGTACATGCTGCAATAATAGAGCTACCCAATAAAGGTAAATTTCGCTGATGCTCATACAGGTAACAGTACTTTCACTGTTGTGGTAACGCGAAGAGATCTATCGACCACATGGGTTAGGATCTGGAAAAGTGATGTTAGTGTGAGGAGTAAGGACAGAGGAGATTGTTAGGAATAAGAATGGATTAATGGTGGGATTAGAAGTTGAATAACAAAATACCGTTTAACATGTATTAAAATGTCGTACCTCACTGATGAGCATCAAACATCACAAGGTCTCTCTTTGCTGGGTTCCTGGACATAGCAATATTGAAGGGAATGAACTAGGAGATGAAGAGGTTCTGAACTGCATACAGGAGAGGCCGACCTCACAATACATACACCAATATGTAAACTGTTTAGAATGATAGAGAAAATCACCAACACGGTGACAAACAATTTATGGACTAACCGTGAAGATTGTGAGGTCACTAGAACCTTATGGCCTAGGTTGGACAAATATAAAACGAAAAGCCTTTTAGGGTTCAGCAAACCTGCAGTTTACTGCAGTATTTACTGGAGTACTAACGGGGCACTGTGTCATTGTACCTATGCTCCAACGATGGCGAATTCCAACAAGCGGATTATGCAGGAATTGCTAAGATGAAGAGGAGGTAGAATCAGTCAACCACTTCCTTTGTCTCTGTCCAGGACTTCAGACAAGGCGACTTCAATGTCTCAGGGATCACTTTTTCACTGGCTTGGGAGAGATAACGAAAGCAAACTTATCGCATCACAATGGGCAATATATGCCTCCGAGTGGAAGTGCTGACAATGGTCAGATAAGATGAACAGATGTTAAGCTTTTTATTTTACAAAATTTACAGACGACAGATACGGTTAAGTTGGAGTGGCGACTGTGTGCAGCAAAGCACACTTGTTTTCAAAAAACGGCTCGTTATGACACCACAGATTAGCGTTATTCGTTCGTACACAAAAACAAAAGGACCGCAGTGGAATTGTACAGATAATGCTGAAAGGCATGTCTCCCTCATTTAAGTGAAAGTGAACGAACCTGACAAGTCTACATATTAAATCCCCAATTTTGCAAGATGACAACTCTGTTAAGGAATAAATTGACAGCTGAGTTTAGTTTCTCAAAGTTCAGTTTCTTAGATTCTTAAAGTTCAGACCAATTTAGACTGCTGTTAGCATTTTAGTTCCTCTATATTTTGAATGCTACTCCTTTACTTTTAAATGGGAGTTTGTAGTCTAAAAATTCTAGTTTCAGGTATGACGCCAGCAGCCATGATAAATTTCTAAGAAGTTTACATTTTTGGGTAGAAGTTTTATTTAGATGGTTGTGGTTTACCAAGATAAGCAACTTAAAGGAAATATCGGATCGTTTCGCAAAATAAATGTCTCTAATTAACTAGATAACCATATGCCTATTTCGATTAACATTTACTATCAACAAAAACCGTTCAGTGGTGAAGTATACAAAATTTGGAATAATGTTAGACATATCACTGGTGAACTCATTTGATTTTTTTTTCTCTATGCAATATAATAGGAAATGCATTTAACCAAAATAAGGAAGATAAACATATAAGTAGCAAAAAGAAAACAATTTTGAAAGAATGAGCCGTTTTTATCTAAATTATCTATATTTTCAATATTTGTAAGTCTATAAACCTAGATAAAGATAATGGAACGCCATTAGTATATTAGGAAATACATTATAACCAAGATAAAGGTATAATTAGTCAAAATGAAACAACTTTGAATGACTTTGTCGTTCCAATCTAAATTATGTTCTTTCAATATTCGTGAATCCACAAACGAAGATAAAGATAATGGAACGCCAATAGTATTATAGAAAATACATTTTAACTAAGATAAGCAAGATAAAAGTAGCCAAAATGAAAAAAATTTTGAATGAATGAACCATTTTTATCTAAATTATCTATTATTTCAATATTTATAGGGCTACAAACTGAGATAGATATAATCGACGTCAGTTGCTTAGTGCTAATCGGACAAAATTTAATCTAAAGAACTTATTTGTACTTACAATCTATAACATTTCTAGTATTATGTTCTTTTATAGCAACGATATGTGAGACGTATCGTTCGGGAATTGGCTAAAATCGAGAACTTGACTGGTAAGCTTGACTGGTGAATTTTGCAATACTCTTTTACTGACGTCAAGAGTTAACTATAAGAAGCACCTATATTCGGCGTTGAGGGATGAAAATATGTTAATTTAGGTTATACCGGTGATCCTAAAGATCTACTTAGGTCTATTGGTAAAATTACGTAAATTTAAAGAAAAGTTTACTAACCGAGAAACTGCACATTTTTAAAATATGAAATGCTCTATACTCTTCATCCAATCCAATATATACATAGTGATTATGACTATAGTACTTAAAACATGATAAGGTGATTAAAATGTAAAAAAATGACAGGCGACAGATTATTTTTACGACTAATTTTAAGTTTTAATTAAATATTAATAAATGTTAATAAGAAATAATTTCCAAGACCACTGATGATGGGTATTTGGCAATACTCGAAACAGCTGTTTAGTTAGCCAAAAATTTAATTAATTAAAATAATATAAAAGAATTTTTGTTGTTGTAATTAACTACTTTTCGAAACGTCTTCGTTATTAAGAAAGGTTAAATTAATTCTAACAATTTTGTATCTAAACCAATTAGTATAGAAATTTTTACAAATGTCACCACTAAAGAGATTCCACTTTGTCCTCATTTTCCCATAGTTTATCCTAACATATCATATCTAATATTAACCTTAACTTATTTTAATAGAGTATCAATAAATTGTAGTGCACTTATAATCTAGTTAATATACTTTAACAAAACAAATACCAAAAAAAAAAATATATATAAACACCAAATTTTTACAAAAATCAAATAATTAGAATAAATAATAATATTAATTAATCGTACATTTCTTATCACCGCAGCAAATTTAAATTAAAAACGCCAGAACTTAGGAGACGTGCAAATTACAGTGTAAATAAACCATGCAACATTGTAAACTCTGGAAAAAGATAACAAATTTATTAAATATATTAACAATTAATTAAATTCAATATTTTTTCTTATTATTGAAGCCATAGACAAAACATTCCAACACCAAAACACAGTAGAACAATTTTATCTTTTGTTTGTGGGAGTGTCATTTTTTTCTAGTTGCACTTGATAATGAACTTACTTTGCCATTTTTGTATAACAAAAGTTTTTGATATTTATAAAAGGATATATAAATAAATACTTTTCTATTTTATCTGCACATTTAATACATTTTATATTATTATATTACATATTGGCGATAACATCTCAATGTTTTTAAATCTGTTATCGCTAGGCAAAATTCCGCCAGTAAGCAAAGGTATTTTTACAATTAGCAAGTAAAAAATTCGAACTGTCAAATAGCAAAATATATTGATTTTCGAAATTCGAAATTGGTCATTTAGAAATACAGTGTCATTGAAACTGTATGAAAATAGTGTAAATGTGTTCGCTAAGAATGTAAGTTTTTAATGAAATAAAAATGCGAAATTTATTATTCAAAAAACGCGTTTAAAGTATATATTATTTAAAAAAAACATATAAATTTTTTATAATTTTCGTAAAAATTCGAAAGGAAATATATGAAAAGCTATGTGTATATACATATTTGCAAAGAATATCAGAATATGACAAATGATAAAAAAATTTCAAAGAATTTGCTAAAAAGAACAGCGGATATGATGTAATGAATATTCAAGAAAGAATACAAACTGGAAATAGTTCCTATTACAATATAAAAACGCTCATATCATTTAACAGACATCAAGAAAATTGAAGATGTTATATTAAAAAATAAAGATTAAATTTGGCATATCAATTGAACCTCTGATACTTGCAGTTTCAAAAAAAAATTATTTACAAATAATTATATATAAGAAATAATTTCCAAGACTACTTAAGACGTGTATTTGGCTACACTCAAAAAAGCTGAAGTGTCAACCAAAAATTCAATTATCTAAAAATAAAAAAATTTTTGTTGTTGCAATTCACTATTATTGGACACCTCTCTATCAATTATAATATAATAAGGGTATTATAACTTTAATTTTTAATTTTTTTGTGGGTTTTAAGTTCAATTTTATTTAATTTTAAACAAAGTAAACAAAATCCAATTGACCTATTAGTCAACAAAAAATCTTAAACGAAATTAATTTTTGTCATTAAAACAAACGAACTCATTAATTTGTATTTATTTGAACTTTTGTAATATTATCCAATTCACCTTTCTGTTAATACGAAATATATGGCGTTTTGGATTGGTAAATCTGGATTTAATCTAAATTTACTCTAAATCCGTAAAATTTTGTTGTCAAATCGTATATTTTTAGAGTAATCTAAAATTTTTGTTGTTGTGTTAGTACATATTTATATTTTCCATATATAAAAACTATATCTATTCAAATCACAATTTATTCATCGTCATATAAAACAGCTGTTAATTTCAGGGTAATCTTGTTACTCTGGCATAATATCTAGAGTGTTATAAATTTAACTCGAGTGTTATACAGAATTACCAATGGAAGATGAAAATTGCACTAAAAGTGAATCTCGATTAAAAAAGTTTTACCAATTGAAAACACCAACAGTATACCATAAAACCGTTTTTAGCATATAAATTTTAAATACAAACAAAACACACTTTCCGAACACTTCATCTGTGCATTCAGTTGGGAACAGTTTTTATTTTGTGAACGCAGAATTGAGATTTTGTTTTTGTGTATACATACTTGGTATAGTAAAGTGATGGTCGCCGACGCAGTAGAATAAGACTTTTGTGTTGTTTTAATTTCTCGCTTAAATTATTCTGAATATTAATTTATATTATATATATAATTTATTAAATTTGGTGAGTTAAATAATAGTGTAATACTTTGAAAATAAATCTAAAGTAAAAAGTGTTTTATAATATATAAAAATTAAATTAAAAATAATATGTCTAGCCTGAAAAAATAAGGAAATTAATGGAGTTCAAGTTTTATTATTTTTTCTTAGCGCTGCTGGGGCGCAGCGTATGTGTGCATACGTTTAAAGTAAACACAAAAACAAAATACATTGTAAAAAAATAGTACAGTATAAAATGTGCTATGTGTGTGTGTGTATGTGTGTTAGTGTTTTGTGTAACATAGCAAACAGGTTTTTGGGAGTTGCTTTTGGTTAGACAACATCAAATGTAAGCGCATAAACAAGAAATTCAAGACAAGAAAAAAAACGTCAACGTTGTACGTCGCAAGACAAACGGAGCGAGTGTAGCATGAAGTGGCTTCAAATACAATAAAAATAAAATATCCATAAAAACAACTTGAAGTGAAGAAAAAATAAATTAAAAATTCAACAGAAGTGGCGTTACAGGTGAATTGAACTGTGGTAGGGGACCCAATTATAATACACAAATACACTGCAACAAACAGCAAACAACAAAAACAAAATAAGTAATTAAAACAAAATAGAAATAAAGATAAAGGACTGCAAGCGTTGCCATAAAAGTGCAATGACAGCTAGAAGAGCTATAAAACAAAAACAAAAACAAATGCAATATAAAAAAAAAATTTAAAAAGAAAAAGGAAACTAAAAGGAAATGTTCAGTGCAGTTCAGCTCCAGTTTGATAAGCTTAAGCTTCTCTCGTGCATAAAATGTCCACAATTGTGTGGCTTTGCTTGTGTAAATGTGTGGCTTCAAATTAAATAAAAAAAAAAACAAAAACCAACAAAAAACAAAGTGAAAAAAACAGTAGCTTGACATAAAAACAACTCTTTTTTTTCTGTGCTTTAATATGCAAAACAAAGTTTTCGAAAAAGAGAAAACACCCACGTTGGTGCGGTGTGGTGTGGTGTGGTGTTTATTGTTATAATAAATATTTTATATTTTATTTAACATAAAATTTCTGAATGAAATTCTATATTTGCGGAGGTTAAATTGTGTTCATATATGTTTTAAATATTAATTTACTATTTGAGTTGCTTCGAGTTTACGTTTATTTCATTCAAAACCAACCTTACGTTGTGAACCCATAACTTCCACGGAGGCGGGGGTTTTGGATGAATCATGTTACAAAAACCGAGCGGGTGTTAAATTCGTTTGCCATGGCTAAAAAAGTGGTTAAATGCAGTGCTCATTGTGGTGGTTTTTGCTTAATAATCATTTTAAAATTATAATTGCTATGAATCCCCACTCATCAACAAGTTTTCTGGATATCGTCATACAGGGTGTCAAAACAGCAATACTGGTTTGCTTTGATTTAAATAAAATATGTATTTTTTTCTTAATAAAAATATATGACTCATGAAGGGTACTTCCATGTATATGCTACTTTCGAATGCTTTTATGTTGGGTTGGGTTAGAATACTTAAATAAAAGAAATAAAGATTATTTAACCCATATAAGTTTACTTTTAAAAAAGGTCATCAATTATAACGGAAAGAAATAATATACAGACAAACTTTCATAACTCGAAGTACCATTTTGCAAAGAAAAGGTTCGACTTGTGGAGACGTCGAGTTAAATAAATTTTTTGTAATTATATGTAAATTGCTCTCTAAACCCTGTTGCACTCTATTTAGTTTCAAATTTAGAAAATTTGAGTTATAGAAGTTCGTGGTATGGTAGTTTAACTGTACATTCTGCTCAAAAAGTACTCGGATTTTGTAAATAAAACACACAAATTTAAATTTTATTCCAAATTTATTTTATCTCCTTCAAAATATGCTCCTTCTAAAGCGATACACATATGCCAATGCTTAACCCAATCTTCCATACACTTTTCGTAGGCCCGTGAAGGTATGGCTTTTAGTTCCTTCAGCGAATTCTCTTTTATTGACTCAATCGATTCAAGACGCGAAGGGGCAATTTGAGTTTCGAGAACAGGAAAAAGTCGCACGGATTCAGATCTAGCGAATATGGTGCCTGAGCGATGGCAGTGATGCCGAATTTGGTCAAAAAATCGCGTACAACAAAAAATCGCTAAATGCACTACATACACAATTTCCTCTTCTCTTACTACCATTAGCTTTCACATTCTAAACCATCTTATACGCCTTCTTATTCTCTTTTATATTATATGCTTAATAACTCTCTAGCTTTGGGTCCAAAGCTAGCCTTTCTTAGTATGTGTAGTTCTGCATATATTTTTACAATTGTTAAACGTACCTTAATTTGTTTTGGTGTTGAACTGAAGTTATGAGGTATGGTTAGTGTTTATAAGGGGGAAGGAGTCAATTTCTTTTTTAAATATGCCGTATATATTTTTATAGCTATTGACGTTTAAGTCTTAGTATGAACTTTTAAGGTTTACTTTGGATATTTAGGTCTAAATATCGATGTTTAGGTCTTTGTAACGACGTTTAGGCCTTTTGACGTGTAGGTCGATGGTGGATGTGTTCCATGGTCTTATTTTACTTACTAGAAATTTGATTTTATTTTAGTATTTATATGGGTTATGTTATGTTAAGCCTTTTCCGAGTTAGTGCTTCTGGGCACTTTTACTCTATGATAGCTGGGGGGATTCTGCATAGTCCTGATTATCTCACTGACTAATTTGAGTGTTCCTGATAATCTTTATGATTATTCAATGATTGATCTAAGATCTGCGTACCGCCCCGTGCGGTTAGTAATTACTCTGAGATTAGGTGAGATTAGAGCTCTCTCCCTTATGTATTTTTTGACCGGATCTATTCCAAGGTCTCTTAGCATGTCATTCGTGCGGATGTACCATGGTACTTTGAAGAGCCTTCGGAGAGCCATTAACCCATTCATAAGGATTAAGCGTCTAATTTGTTTCTTAATATTTGCAGTACTGCATTGATTTTGCGGTTCTGCGGTTGCTGGTTTAAATTTGGGATGTTTGTCTATTTTATGGAATATTTAAATGATATATATATTAATATATTTTCTAACTATTGAGTTAGAAATGTTCTAGTGGAAATTTCAAAGTTTAAAAGACATTAATATATATGTTCGTACCATGTGTCACTTTCTGAGTGCTTACTTTTACCTCAAAGTCCAAAGGTTCAAAAACTTTGGAGCTAAAAAAAATGCCAATAAGCCATTTATAAAATATAAAATAATTTTTTTTTAAAAAATAAAATATTCAATATCCAATAAATGACTAAGTAATATTTCAACATAAGTACTTCTTTCAACATAGTAAAGAATATTAAAAACTTGATAAAATAATATTGCTGATTAATAAAAAAAAAATTAAAAAATAATATAGTAATAAAAAGAAAACAAAAAGGAAAATGACTATAAACTAATAAGTATTGTAGTTAAAGATTATAATTATATACAATTAAATACATATTTCGAAAATATCCACAAAGATTTGATAAGTTTCCGTCACTCGCAATGACTAAAATAACCGACTAATGTAACTAATTTTTTATATATATTATAATTGTTTATCGTCTTTAACAAACATTTAATTATTTAATTAAATGTTTAATTATTTGTTAAAATAAACTTGAATTCAAGGTTGAATGGAGTAAATGGAGTCATGTATTTCCAGATTTTGACCAAACGAACACTAAAATTTTGGTTAAAATTTAGTCAACATTTTAAAAGTGCGATAAATTATACATTTTGTGGTACATTATATATTCTTATGTAATCCAAAAAAAGAAAAAACATATATGTGTATATAAGTATATACTCATTTATACATGTAATTACAAAATTTGTATGTTGTTGGGTATAAAATTATGAGTTTGTCGTACGAGCAGCACTCGACTTTTGATAAACAACTTTCGACAAAGCACTTGCGCTCTTCCGGTTCATTGTGGGTCAATTTAAATTAATTTTATTCTTTTAAGAGTTGTGCTAAAACTCTTAGAAGACTCAGTGTTTAGATTAAGCACAGAATCTACTAACCTTGCCCCCTTTTATTTTATGCAAAGTAGGTGACACTTTTAGCAAAATGTGGGCCATACATAGTTCAGGTCAAAATTGGTTCAGATACTCGACGAGACGTTTATGCTTTATTGTATCTTGCACTTTACACTGAACTTTGCTTGAATGTTGACTGACTCAGCTTCATTTTCATTGCTAACATTTAGTAAGTGTTAAAAAAAAGCAATAACTTTTTAATTGTTTATATAAAACTTATATTTTTTATTAAACTTTAGACGTAACCTTTGCAGAAATATTGCTGCCATTGAGTCTTAATAAATCGAATTGCCTTCTTTGCGTCTAAACTTTTTCCGCTTTTCCGTTTTTCCGTTGTTGCGTTTTTGCACAAAACGCTGAATATTGCAAAACGTGCATATGAGTATAAACAATTACTTCCTTTGCATAAACAATTATTTTTACTATTAGTATCCGCAAGTATTCCAAGAATGATCATCCATTTCTGAGGAATTCGGTTCGTAGTGGTTCGTAGCTCGTTTCGTTAACGTAAGCAATATTCTTACGAAAACCCCTAAACAAAACTGTTTGTCTTGCATTAATATTTCATAGTTAAATCGGAATTCTTGTGCCTTCAACTGTACTTAATTAATCGTTTAGTTTCATTGCTTGTAAATCTTTTTTTTCTTCTTCTTAATTTAAAAGTGATTATTTAATCTTTTTCGAGTGCAGTATTTGCTTATTCTATTATTTCGGTTTACAGCTTCACATGTGTGCTCTGCTCTGCTCAGCTCAGCTCAGCTCTGCTCAACTCGTTCAGTTATCTTCGAAGATAATCCCAACACAAATTTGAAGTACGTAAGTAGTGTGATGTGATGTATTGCTTATCTATAAAATGTGCATCTCTCGTGTTTGGTACATCGTGTTTTATATCTTCTAAAACAGACGGAGACACATAGAAACCTTTGTAGTATAAGTTTTTTATCTTATTTCTAGTATGATTAAGATAA